TGGGGCGACCCACAGGAGGGAGAGTGCCTGGCCGGGCTGGGCCCCGGGGACTTCACGGCCGGGGCCTTCTCCTTGAAGAAGGGCTTGGGGGCGAGTCTGGGCAGAGGGAGCAGGCGTGCGGGGCTCCTGAGGGGGCTCTTTCCTTCCAGGAGCCGCGCCGAGGGAGCCCCCGAGGGGTCGCCCGCCTGGCGGAAGTAGGTCCGTGTCAGGGTCTCCTCCTTGGCGATCTCCCCGAGGCCTGGCACTCCTGGCAGGGGCGTGATGGAGCCGACCTCCACCCGCGTCACCATGGTTACGGTTGTGGATCCATGGGGATTCAAAACATCCGAAATGGAGAAGCCACTGCTAGAGAAAAAAAAAAAGGGAAATTTAAAATTCAGTCAGCGTCCGGTTGGGTCGAAGCAGCTGGAGCCCTGAGTTCTGGACAACAACTCCCCACTGACTTCGCCGGGCAAGCCAGGGCCAGTCCCTCCATCCCTCTGAACTGCGGGCTGTTTCTGAAGTTCCTTCCAGATCAAAGGGCGGGGGGAAGGCGCCAACATTCTCCAGGACTTTCCCCTGCACTCAGCTCAAGGTAAGGAGGGCTTATCTCTGCTGTGCAGATAAGGGAATCGGCTCAGAGAGGCCAAGCGACTGGCCGGAAGTCACTCAGACAGCAAGAGGCAACGTTGGGATGTGACGCTCACACTGCGCGCTCCCGGCATCAGCCCCCGGCAGCACCCTCGAGTTCCCAGTCTCCTGTCACCATGTTCCCACTTCAGAGCCGGCCCACCCGGCCTCAGGCATCCCAGCTGAACCCCGCACCAGCCTGTGCGGGGCGCCAGGCTCAGAGAGGGTAAGCGGCCAGCCCCAGCTCACACAGCTGCCCAAAGTCAGAGCCCCTGAGGTCACAGAGGTGGTGGATGGCCCACAGAGCCCAAGCCTCAGCCCCCGACCCCACGGCCAGCCCTTTATCTTCCCCTCGCCCACCCTTCCAGATGCCTTCAGAAGAGCCACCTTGACTTTTCACTCACCTAGGGTTCCTGTTTGCCTTTGGGCTCTTTTCTAGTGGATGCCTACTTCTCGCTAGCTGTCATCATAGTCTCAGTAAGAGTCACAGCTAATGGTGAGGGCACACATACCACGAATGAGGGCTTGAAGTAAGCTGAGGGCTCCCTGTGTTTTAGAAATCATATCGTCCTCACAACCCTCCGAGGTGGGTACGATGCTTACCAGACCTCATTACCAGGCTCGGGCACAGCCCCTTGTCCGTCCAGCTATGTAGGACCTGCTCTCTCAAAGCAGGAGCCCTCTTCTCTCATTAATCCTCCGACAACCCCAAGGGGCAGGTATGATCGGTATCTCCATTACAGAGATTAAAGGGAAAGGGCCCAGAGAGGTCGTCTGACCTGCCTACATCACACAGCTAAAACTCGACCTCAGGTCCTCAATCCATTCAACTCTGCCTTTTTGAAAAATTATGTTTTATTCCTTTCTGGGTCTTAAAAAGTGCCAGACGAGTCACTGTTCTTGATTCCTCCCCCACCCTGTCCCCACCTTCAAACCAGTGTCCCCTTTCCCCGAAAAACTGCCCCCAGCCTGTCCCCACCTAAATGGACTAACATCGGAGGGGGTTTCAGCGCAATGCAAGCCTCCCGCTCCCCTCCCGAGGCCCCGCACGGCTGCCCCCGGCTCTGACTCACTCGGCAGCCTGCGGGAGAGAAAGGCAGACAGATTTTGATATTTTTCTCTTCCTTACACGCTCGATGGTGCTAACAGATTCCTTCTCCCCAAACCAGAGAACGCTGTCTAGACACGTCAGAAGCAGAAGAGAGGGACAGAGATGGAGAACCAGGGGATCTGACAGAGGGAGAATTCTACCTGCAGTGACACCAGGGGTCCTGCCCGCAATCAGGGCTGTCCACCTTCAGAGCCAGCCCCCGTGACCCCTGGCAGCCCCGCTCAGGGTCACAGACACAGCCCGAACATGAGACACGGCAATCACAGGACTCCAAGGGCAGAGAGAAAATTCCTGGCAGAACTCGCAGGCGCCCTCCACCCCCTGGACACTCCAGCCCCACTTACCCGAGCCGGCAGGCCCTGGCTGGGGATGTGTGACCGCCAGAGAAAGCCAATGGTGTCACATCTCATCGCCAGCAGGGCTGTCCCCACACTCCCATGGCAGGAGCCCGTGGGGGGGAGGGAGTGTAGAGGGGGAGAGACTCGTCCCTGCAGGCTTGAGTTTCCACAGGACTGGGTAGACAGGGACGGCAGCCTCGGTTCCAGCGATTTGTGCACAGACGGTACAAAAGCTCTGGAGCTCCAACTGCGTCCGCTGGCATCTCCCCCAGCCTGTCAAACTCACGCTCCTTGCGGCTTTTCAGTAGTGCAGCCTTACATATACATGCGCATAAACAGTGCTGAGTCCACAGTAGGTGCTCAGTAAAAACTCCCCCGTTCCTCTGATACATGTTTACTGAGCACCTACTATGTGCACAGAGGTGAACAAGAAACATCCCCTGCTTTCAGGGGGGAACTCACAGTCTTGTGTGGGAAACACACACACGCAATGGGCAACAAGCATCCATCATGGTCTATAAAGGGGTACATGGGAGCACAGGGCGAGGAGGATTAACCACCTAGAGTTGGCAGTGGTTCTGGAAGGCTCCCTTGGCTTAGTGGAGGTGACTCCTGAACACTCAGGTGCTGGCTGATTTGGGAGCTGTTTCTCCTGGTTCTCCTGCTCAGTAGTGTTTGTACGTTGCATCTCTTGGTGGTTCTCAAATGCTGCCTCAGGGCCTTTGCACATGCTGTGCCTGCTCTCTGAAAGACCCCTCTTGTGCAGGCACAGGCCCACCCCTAAGATCACAGCTCAGACATCCCTGTCCCTCTCCAACCTAGTACAATCTCCCTCTTACATATCCACGGAGCCCCACAGATACTCGGCAGGCTTCATCCATAGCTACACGGTTACATTTAATAATAGTGCTTTAGTCCCCTGGTAAGCCCCCAGAGGGCACCCTGAATCCCCAGTAGCCAGCACAGTGGCCTGGCACATCATAACACCAATTACATAATTACTGAGTGTGAGAGAGAGAGAAACATCCATGTGAGAGTGAAACATCGACTGTCTGCCTCCCGCACACCCCCTACCAGGGTTCGAGCCCGCAATCTTTCGGTGCACAAAACGACACTCAATCAACTGAGCCACACAGGCCAGGGCGAGCCATCTCTTTTTTAATCATCATGGAGGTCGCGCTGGGGGACAGACCGGGTGCCAGGCTGGCCTGGGAGGTCAGGAGGCTGCACTAGACCAGGAGACACAGGATGTCAGTCAGACCTCAAGCACCTGGAGCAGAGGGTAGCGATGGGTACGTCTCTGCTTTTGCTAAACCTGCCAAGTCCTCAGGCTTGATTTCACTGAACTGATTTGCAAAATTTGAAATTCCATTTCCTATGATTTCGTGCAGAGAAAACCATTTTTCCCTGGGAATTGAGTCACCGAGACCAATAGCTGCTGAAATTTGACAGGTATCTCTCAAGGGCATTCATTCATTCATCCATCCTTCTGACCCTCCTCCCACAAACCAGGCCCTGGGCTCGGTGCTGGGGGTGCAGCCACGGAGCTCCAAGTCTCCGGGGAAATCCGAGAGAAGCGCACCGGGAGGAGGCCAGAGAGCTGCTTCCATTCAAAACCCAACAGTTTGGCAGCTTTTCCGCTCAGATTCAGAGGCGTTGATTCATTCTAACAGCTGTTGCCAATTCTTCATAATTATACCCTCAAATCCGATCTGGGAGCTCACCAGTCATTCACTGAGCCATCTCTGGGTGCTGTTCCCTGGGAATGCCACCATCTGGTGAGGGGTGCGAGCCAGTCCTGACACCCTGCAGTATCTTCCGGAATGTGACCTGGCCTTCCCAGTCTGCGTGTGTGCGGGGCACTGTGCAAAGGGCCACGTGCATGCCCGGGGCCTCCCAGAGGAGCCAGGACGCAGGAAGTGTGTGTGGTTCATCCATCCACAGGCCCCAGATGGAAACAGCCCAATGCCTCACGTCACTGGAATGCAGGCATCCTCTCTTCTCCATCCCCATGGCCGCTTCCTTAGCTCATTCATTCATTGAGCACCCACTATGTCCTGAGTTCTGGGGACACATATCCAGAAAGCCTTGTTCCTGTGGAGCTGATAGTCACGGAAAGGGGAACAGGCCCCGGCCAACGACACACCAACGTTGCAGGTTTGATCCCCAATCAGGGCACACATTAAGAAGCAACCAATGAATGCACAGCTAAGTGGAACAACAAATCAACATCTCTCTCTCTCTCTCTCTCTCTCTCTCTCAAATCAAAAATTAAACAAAATTTGTTTGAAAGAAGAGGGGAACATAAATGAACATAAATAAGCAAGATGTATAGAATGTTAGATACATGACAATAAAGGAGAGAGTGGCCAGGGAAAACTTCACTGAGAAGAGACATTTAAAATCCGCCCTCCCCGCTGACATGCCTCCAATCTGCTCTCCTAGCAGCAGCCAGAGTGATTCTGACTGGCTAGCACCACCATGTCACCCGCCCTGCGCAAAGCCCATGCAGTCTCCTCACCGACCTCTGGATAAAGGTCAAACTCCTTCCCTGAGGCCCGGGAGGATCTGGCTCCTCTTCATCTCACCAGCTTCAGTCTAATGATCGACACCTCCCATCCATCGTCCGTCCGTCTGTCTGTCTCTCACATGCACTCACATACTTACTTCAGCACAACGACCCCAGACAGGTCACAAGACACGCTGTGCTTTCCTTCACTTTCAAGCCTCCACACTGCCATTTCCTATGACCTGGCTGATCTCTAGCCATCCCTCAATTTTCAGCTCCAAGTTGCTATCTCCTCCAGGAAGCCCTCCCTGATGCCCCAGGGCAGGATCAGGTGACTCCTGGGAGCCTGGTATCAAACTCCTGGTACTTCTCCCTTGCCCAGCACTGATGGCACACCTGGTAACTGCCTCTGTTTCCTCCACTGGACTGGGAGCTCCTAGCCAGGAGGGACCTGGGTCCAGCTCACAGCTGTATTCCCGGGGTCTGACCACCACACTGGACATAAAATCAGTGTGCAAAAAATACGTGAAGGGAGAGCATCCTTGAGAGAGGAAAATAATAATATTCAATGCAGGCGTGGGTGTGGAGAAATTGATATGCTCATCTGCTCCCAGGGCCAATGTAAGTCATAAAAGCAATTTGGCAATATTCACTTCCAACTAATATTTTTTTGAGTCAGGCACCCTACCAAGGGACTCTGTGCACTTTCTGCCTTCTCCCATT